TAAAACCTGGTCTCAGAAAAGTAGAAGAATATGGGAGGGGATCAGATTCTAAAGGGCAACAATTGAAAAACAAATCGGCATCCTAAACCAGTGATTATCTGGGGGGTGGGGGGGTGGATGCACGCTTTCCCAAGTAAGCGAAGTATGATATCGTGGGAAAACAGGCCCAGCTTAGTGCATCCTGGTCAAGGGCACACTTCACAGACACCATCGTGCCCCCTCCGGGCATGTGTGCTGACCAGAGCGGGGAGGGAGCTTCAACTGGAGTTTTTGTTTCACTGACCCCTCCTTCCCGATGCCTGTACCTGGCACTGTGTGTGGCCGAGGGTGGGGTTCAAGGTTACTCAGTCTGCCTTTAAGGGATGTACAGTCCCACTGACCAGACATAGACAGTAGCAATGAGGCAGAACCAGAGACTCAAGCACAAGGAAGCACTCACTGACTGTGAGGACCGTTAAGCAAGTGGTCCACCAAGGAGGAAAAGGCCCATCTCAGATGGAATGTGGGGGTGGAGGGCTGCATCGAACGTATTCCAAGCCTTAAGGGGAGCCCTTGGAATCTGGTAGCCCGTTTCATTTGAGTTCATCTGAACTCACTTTATTTTCAAAAAAGAAAAAAAAAATCTCACTTTATTCCCCTTTTATCTGCCAACCATTGTTAAGTCAGGGCATGGGATCCGGGCACCTTGAAGGACTAGGAAACTTAGCCTCCTGTTGACAATACCAAAAATCACTGAAGTCTCTTAAGAACTTCAGACCGAGCCACACGCTTTCATCCAAGAGATCAGGGAGATGCCGGGACTTGCCTCTCATCTCACAAGACTGGTTTTGTGTGTGTGTGTGTGTGTGTGTGTGTGTGTGTGTGTGTGTGTGTGGTGGCGGCGGCAATGCACCATGATGCAGTGTGTGTACAGTATTAGGGTCAGAACAATGCATGAAGCCCATAACCAGCCTGGTAGTGGGACCAAACCTAATGCACACGTGAGTCTAATGCTTCAGCAAACAAAAGGTTCCCTTCACTGGGTGGCCTCCAGGGGCCCAGGCAGAAGTCCCTAAAACCAGCCAGAGGCTTTGCATGGTGCCCCCAAACCTGCATTGCAGCCTCTGACACATGCACCTCCATGCCTTGAGCCTTCATTCCCCATTCTCCCCGGGAACAGCTTCCCAGTGAACCCAGTTCTCATGGGGATGCCTAACCGAGTGAGCTCCAAGCCACGCTTCCCTTTCCACCCCACCCCCTCCACCCACACAGCTGAGCTCACCCTGCCCTGCCTCTTTTGCAACTTTCCCAAGTCTGTGCATGAGAGGGAGAGGAGGAAAACAGAAGGAAGTAGCTTGGCCTCAACAAGCTCTGCTGCTTCAGAGCCTTGTTTCTCTGAACCGGCTGACACCTTTGCTGTAAGAGGAGACCCCCAGTCTGAGAGAGAGCTCCCTCCTGCCCCGCGGAGGCCGGATGCTAAGCAGCCACAGCTGTAAGTGCCTTGGAACTTTTTCTCAGTTCTTCTGTCCCAGCAAGCCCTAGAGACATTTGGGTTCGGGGAGGGCGGTGGGGAATGGAAGCAAGGAATGCAGGGGTGAGGCTTAGAATCTGGCAGCTGCGGGGTTTAGATCCAACCCGAAACCCCCCCCCACCCTCCCACCACCCACCAGAGAAACTCCTAGGGCAAGGCAGCGAGCCAGGCAGAAGGGACTTCCCCTCCCAGCCCAGCCGGGGGAGCTGGGGCCCAGGCTCCGGGCTCTGCACGGGCCATCAGTCTCAGCCGGACCACACCGCTGCTGGCTCAGCAGAGGAGGGCCAGCTAGCACCCGAGGTCGCCTTGCCACGCCGACAGGGCACGTCCTTGGGTGGAACCCGTTGGCCAAAGGGTCTCACTGGGGAAGGAGGAACTCCGAGAGTAGGAAAGTGTCCTTTTGTCTTAATCATAATTGTGTCTCCTGGCGCAGCTCTGCAGTGCTGGGCAGGCCAGTCAGCAGAGTTGGACAGATCTGGGTTCTAGTCTCAGCTTGCCACTTAGCTAGTTGCTCTTGACTCAGGAATCCACTGGACTATGATGGCATTTTGTACACTGCAGTGGGCCCTAGAATTGCCAGGCAGTGTGCATTTATAAAAATAACTTCTTCGAGCTTGTCGATCGATGCCCCACCACAAAGTCCCATGGAAATAGTAACTTGTCTGTATCCTCAGACCTACAGAGTGTGGGCGCATAGTAGGCATATAGTACACGTGCTGGATGGATGGACAGACAGACGGATGGATGGATGGGCACGTGGATGGATAGACAGGTGGATGAACGGATAGGTGGATGGATAGAGGGGGATGAATGAATGACTGCTTATTGAAGATTCAATATTCCCAGCATGGGTCAGGCTTTATGGAGGGATGGAGAGGTGGGAGGCAGTTCCTTGTCCTCTGGGCACTGATAGTCTATGTGGGGAGACAAGACTAATACTTCCAAAGAACATAAAGAACACGAGCGCTGAGCCTCCTGAAACCAGAGCTTTGAACACACGGCCTGGAGGGGAGCAGGTTTCGAGCCTCTGGGATTGAGGAGGGTGAGGCAGAGTCGTGAGGCTTCTCACAGGGCAATAAAGCTTCGTGCTCCATAGATACTTTATTTCAAAGACAAACTATTCCCACGACTGTAAATCCCATTGTTTTTGAGGTGGATGCATTTGTTGTTTTCTAAGATGTGGTAGCAGGGAGGAGAGGCACTGAAAGTAGGGTAACAGGAGCGAAGTGGGGAGACTGCCTGCCTCAGAATCTGCATCTGCCCCTGCTCACTGGCCTCCCTCATCCTTCTCCCTTGTCAGCAGAGCTTACACTTCACCTCACCTCGCCAGCGAGACAGAAGACCGTACGTGGGTCCTGGTTGGGGCCAGTGGGGGAGGGAGAGAAGGGAAGTAGGATGGTGAGAGCAGAGCAAGTCCAAGAGTTCGTGTAAGACTGGCCCTCAAGCCCTAGGGCGGTGTGTGCATGCGCACACGTGTGTGTGCATGTGCACGTGTGTGTGTACACACGTGTGTGTGTGTGTGCATGAGCACATGTGCGTGCCAGGGGGCATCAACGCAGACTTTCTTGCTCCCAGGGACTGACCTACACTGCAGCTTTGGCAGGTGGGCAGGACCAGGGCTCCAGGCTTCGAAGGAGTGCCAGGCACCAAGGGGAGAGGAGTTAGTCACATGCAGTGGGGACTGAATCGCCTGCAGAGTCTGGACTGGGTGGACCTGGGCTGGCTGAGGCAGGGCCCCGTGTTCCAAGCCTGCTTCTCACTGTTATTTAACAGTAGAGGGCAATGATTCAGCCTGGCCTCTAAGACGATGCCCTGGGTTGGAGCATCTGAGGTAGCTGAGTGGGCGACAGGAGGCTTAGAAGGAGAGCTATGGCCTAAGTCCAGCCAAGGTCAGAGCCCAGAGGACATGGGAAGGGACTGCAGCCACCGTCTGAAACCTACACGGGCCTCCTTGGTGAGTCCAGCCAGTGTCTCCTGCCAAGCTGCCCTCCCTCGCCAGTGACACAGTTCTGGTCACGCCCTTGTTGCTGCTAGTTACCCTGGGACCCGAGGACCAGGCTATTTTAAGTAGCAGCCTCAGCAAATCCTTTCCCTTCTGAGAATGGGGTAGGGGAACTGCAGCGGCAGCGTGCTTGAAGGGCACATCCAGGAGAAGGGGACCGGGGTGGTAGTGGGGTAAAGGGAGCTCAGAGGCAAGGCCAAGGTGAGTCACAAGGATCTGGATAAGAAAGATTCAAGAGAAACCCGAGGAGAAGACATTAAGCCTCAGAAGGGCTGGCATGTGGCAGAGGAATATTGCCTGTTCTCTGTGGCCCCAGAAGAAATCCACCCCTAGTGGAGGGAAGAGGCTTTATGGGAGCAGATCTGGCTGATCTTTCCATGAATGTGGCTCTGGTGCTGGGTGGGGGTTGGAGAAGATGATCTTGAGGTCCCTCCTGCGGTGTGCTGGCATAGGCTCCACACTGATCCAAGCTTGGGATCAGCCTTGGTGTGAATATCCACCCCACGGAAAGTTGCAGGTGCTGCAAATCAGATCTCTACCCCACCCCCATACAATTAGTAACCATTTATCTGGGTCTTCCCCCATTAGGGAAGCCTATTGTGCTGTAAGAAGTGACACATGCCACCCTGCAGAAGCCACAGCCATGAGTGATGTCCCCTTTACCCAAGAGGGAACAGACTCACCAAGATCAAGCACCTCACCCAAGGTCACAAATGTATGGAGGTAGAATAATGCTGACTCCAAAAGTCATGATCAGTCCCTGATACCAGATGACCTCCGTCTCCTGCCCCGGACACAAAAGTGATTTGTCAGGAAGTCACACTCAGATGACTTTGGGCTGCCATCCACCCAAGTGCTCTTTTTAAAGAAACGTTAAGGGTGCCTGCGTGGCTCAGGTGATTAAGCGTCCAGCTTTGGCTCAGATCATGATCTCATGGTTCACAAGTTCAAGCCCTGCATCAGGCTCTGTGCTGACAGCTCAGAGCCTGGAGCCTGTTTCACATTCTGTGTCTCCCTCTTTCTGACCCTCCCCTGCTCACACACACACATTTTCTCTCTCTCTCAGAAATAAATAAAAACGTTTAAAAATTTTTAAAGGCTACATTTCTAAAAATAATAAATAATGTTCTCCAACAATCCTCTTTGTACAAAGGTATGTACAGAGCAGAGGTGCGTTCTGCAGGATAGCACCTAACATTACAATCTGTGGTATGTGCATGTTAAATTTTGCTACTGTCAACTTTCCCTTCTAAAAAGGCTATGCAATTCATAGCCTATTAACAATATACAATAGTGCTTTCCCTATACATTTGCCAACACTAAATTTCACCATCAGTCTTTTTAATTTTTGCCACTCTCTGGCAGGTAACGAAAAAATGGTATTTTTAAATTTTATGAGTTTTCATTCATAAGACTTATTGGTTACTTATTCATATTCCTTGCCCACTTTTACATTGTATATTATCTTGATTATCTGCAGAGAGCTTCCCGGGCAGTGGGTATTGATCTAATGTGATATGCACACACCCTCTACCTCCCCTGCCCTCACCCCTACATCCCCTTCATAAGCACGTTGGCTGCGCTGTCCCACGTCAAGCCCAGGCCACCCAGCTCCCGAGCCTCTCTGACAAGGGCACCAAATGGCAGGTGTGTGAGCTCCATCCTAGTTTTATGGAAGAGACAGTAGAACAAGCAGGTAAGAGGGTGTGGGATTAGGCCTGGATTCCAATCCCAGCTCCTAATCCAGGTTCTACCACTTCTAAACTGTTTTCAGAGAGAAACCGTTTAACGCCCCTAGACACCTGGTTCTTCAGTGGGAAAATAGAGACCTACAGTGTCAGTCCAGCAGGCTTGTTTTTGTGCTAATAATAGTCGTAAAAGAGATAACATTTCTTTTTTTAATGTTTTATTTGTTTTTGAGAGAGCGCGAGTTGGGGAGGGGCAGAGAGAAGGGGACAGAGGATTTGAAGCCGATTCTGTGCTGACAGCAGTGAGCTCAATATGGGACTCGAACTCAAGAACTGCAAGACCATGACCTGAGCCAAAGTCAGACGCCCAAACGACTGAGCCACCCAAGTGGCCCCAAAAGAGCTAACATCTCTTGAGCCTTTAATTTCGGCCAGTAAATATATTATAACAATGTTTATTTGTATTAAATGTACTATAATAATGTATTCATTCATTTAACCTCACAATGATATGCATATTTTTGTTTGCATAATCACAAAGTCCTCTATGCAGTGCCAGGCAGAAAACATGTTAGATTATAGAGTGAGCATAGGTACGACTCCATCATGGCGGCTTGTGTCCACTGTGTGAGCACGTTCCCCTCCAACTGAGCTTGCCAGGCCTTGACCCTGGTGGCCAATGCTCACACAACAGCTCTTGTTCCACAGACCGGTTCCCTCCGCTCCCGTTTGTACCTCTTGTTACTTCGGCTGCCTTTCTCTCCATCTCCTCCAAGTCTGCTAGGGTTTTTTCAGGGCTCGCCAAGCCGGAGCCCAGCACCGCAGATCCTATGCACACAGATTCTATGGGTTCAGACTCAAGAGGTCAAGAGGCAACATGGCACAGAGGAGCCTTCTCTGACCTTCGGTGCACACGCTGCCTCATCCACGTACTGCCTGTATGGCCTTGGATGAGATGTGAATGATTTGGCTTCTGAGTCTCAAGTACTCATCTCATAGGGCTACTGGGAGGGTTCCCTAAGCCCTCAGAGGACACGGAGCAGCCCCTGCAAGTGTTCTGCCAGTGCTAGTTCCTTCCCCACTCGTCCCTGCCTCCGTTTGGTCCTGCCTCCCTTTCTAAGGCACTGAGTTGGCTTTTGAAGCTAAGTTGGACTCTTGTACCAGAGCTCACCCCGTGGCTCCCACTCCCCTTCTGAGCAGTAACTGATGCTTAGAGACACATACCTTTCACAAGCTTCTGAGCCACTTCTCCCTTGGCTGGTTTCTTTGTGGGCAGGGACACCCATGACAAAATGTCAGCCCTGGCTAATACTTTGAATTATCTTCCTCTGCCTGTCTGGAGCATAGAGAATGGTTGCTTAATGAATGAGTCGTTGGTCTGACCTCCATGACCCATCTTAAATCTTACTTCTTCTCCCTGCTTTCCTATCTCCATGCCCTTGGCCTCACCCTTCCAAATCATCCACCAGTTCTCAGGGTTTTGATTCCTTCATCCCCTCCCTCTGAAATATCACACACACACACACCCTCCCCCAGCCACATGTCTCATTTCTTCAGGGCCCAGATGGATTGCTGGCTTCTCTTCCCCACTCCTGAACTCCCCCAGTGCTTTTTCTGTGCCTCCGTTGGGATGCTTTACACTTTCTCCCTGGCGTAATCACTCAGCCCTGTGCCTTCTCCCATGATGACTCCCTAGTGTGGTTTCCTAGTCACTCCATCTCCGGGCTCCTTCCAGTGTCTAGTGCAGGGCTTTGCAAGGCAGTAGCCATGTCAGTATTTTTTGAAGGACGGTCATGGACGACCAAGAAGACCTGTTGCCCACCATGCCAGTCCAGTCCTCCTGGGCTACAGCAGAAGGCTCAGCCACACCAACACTGGCTCTTGGGACAAGCAGCTCTGAGCAGAGCCTCAAATCACCCTGGAGCCACAACACGGCTCGCAGAGGGGCACTAACAGCCCAACGTCCCTGGGGGCTAGGCAGCCCTGGGCAAGTCCTTGTGGCCAGTGGGTTACAGCTCCAGTTGACAGAGTATTTTTCAACCAGAAGGGACATTGAGTCTTTGAGGCCCAACTTGCTATTCTTAATTAGAAAACCAAGACTCAGAGAGGGGAAGTAAGTGGCCCAACGTCACACAGTGATAAAGTGACAGAATTAGAACCAAGGCCTTAGAATATCTGGTTTTGAGCTTTTTCCAGGTCCCTAAGGAAACTCAAGCTGGCCCTTTTGGGCTAGGCAGAGTCAGACTGAGGTTTGCTCAGTATGCTACCTGCTGTGTCCAAGTCAGGAGCCCTCAGGAGTTGGGAATTGTATACACATAGGTGTACACATAAGGGTGGATCCAAAGAGCCAGTTAAGCACAGTCCTCTGCAGCAGTTTTGCCTTAGCTTGTTAAAAATAAGAATAATCGGGGCACCTGGGTGGCTCAGTCGGTTAAGTGTCTGACTTTGGCTCAGGTCATGATCTCACGGTTCATGGGTTTAAGCCCCGCATCGAGCTCTGTGCTGAAAGCTAGCTCAGAGCCTGGAGCCTGTTTCAAATTCTGTGTCTCCCTCTCTCTCTGACCCTCCCCTGCTCACGCTCTCTCTCTCTCTCTCTCTCAGAAATAAATTTAAAAAACATTAAAAAAATTTTTTAATAAAAAAAAAAAAGAGTAATATGGGGCACCTGGGTGGCTCAATCTCTTAAGTGTTCAACTTCAGCTCAGGTCAGGATCTCATGGTTCATGAGTTTGAGCCCAGCATCGGGCTCTGTGCTGACAGCTTAGAGCCTGGAGCCTCCTTCAGATTCTGTGTCTCCCTCTCTCTACTCCTCCCCCGCTCGTTCTCTCTCTCTCAGAAGTGAATAAACATCAAAAAAAAAGTTTAAATAATAAATGTGTACATGTATATGTAAAATGCACAGATGCACATACTCATGTTTCTTTCGTATAGGAAAGAAACACATTGTTTTTTATAGGAACAATGCCTGTTTAACATGACTGTTACGAAAAAATGGAACATACTAAAAAGCACAGAGAACAAATGTTAAATTGTATAATTTTCCTACCACCCAGAATTAACCACTTAAATTTGTTGTATATTTCTTTCTAGGCCTTTTTCTATGCAAGTAGGAACTCATCTTCATATTTGGGGTGGTATTATATATACAGTTTAGTGTCTTCTGTCTTTTTTTAGACCCTATGGCATAAGCATTTACCCACATTAGTGTAATAGTCTCAAAAACTCCATGTTAACAGTTCATTGTATGCCATGATTTATTTAACCACTTCTTTGTTATTGGATGTTTATAAATAATACTGTGAAGAACATTCTTGAACAAGAATCTTTGCCCAAATTGCAGATGATTTCCCTAGGACAAATTCCTAGAAGTGGAAGGCAGGGACATTTTTAAGGCTTTCAATACTTGCTGCCAAGTAGCTTTCCAGAAACATGTACCAATTATACCCCCACCAGCTGCATTAAAGAAGAGCCTTTTGATTCTGTGATTGCAGCAACACCTCGGGCTGGGGGAGGGGCGCTCTCCCATCCAAAGCCTCTCGGGCTGTCCTGACAATGGGCCCCTTGTCCTGCCCCCATCTCCTCTTCCCGCACTGCCCTCCATCCCTGGCTGCTGGTTTAACTGTCCTCGAGGCCTCTGTTCAACCCTGTCCTGGCTTCTTGGCACTCCAGCCGCCTCCAAGAACAGGGTTGGTAATGCTGAAGGGTGAGAGATGCGCCTGTCCTGTGGGGCCACCACACTTCCAGCCTTGGGGAGGCCCCCAGGGGAAGTTGAGGGAGTGTGTAAGGATTGCTGATCACCTATTTCTTTTGGAGAACAACCCCACCTGAGTCCTGGGCCCAGAGCAGTGATCTACGCATCAAGGAAGGGAAAGTAGAGGCCAGCCTCGGGGACAATGGCCACATGGACTCTAGCTAGCATGCAGATGACTTCTGTTTCCCTACAGGCTCTGAAGCCCCTCCATGAATCCTCGGAAGAAGGTGGACCTGAAGCTCATCATCATCGGAGCCCTGGGGTAAGCCAAGATCAGCTCAGGGTGTGGGGATTGGGAAGCAGCCCCCTGCCCAAGGGCAATGAGACCTCCTGAGTGTTTTCCACTGGTCATGAGTCTCTCTGACTCAGAGTAGCACCAAGGAGAAGAGATGGGCAAAAAGGCTGGGAGCCAGACTACCTGGTTCCAGTCCCAGATCTGACATAACTCCACAGGAACTCAGTGGGTGACTTAGAGAAGCCACTTAGCAGTCATCCGTCCTCCCACCCCGGTCAAGTACAGGAAAGACCTGACCTGTGGGACACGCAGCTCTCTGCAATCTTCTCTACTCATTTGGACTGTCCTCTACTTCTAATGTTTATTTATTTTTGAGAGAGAGACAGAGCACGAGTGATGAAAGGGCAGAGACAGAGGGAGCCACAGAATCTGAAGCAGGCTCCAGGCTCCGAGCTGTCAGCACAGAGCCTGACGTGGGGCTTGAACCCACAAACCATGAGATCATAACCTGAGCCAAAATCAGACACTTAACCAACTGAGCCACAAGGCCTCCCTGGACTGGTCCCTACTTCTAGAGTCCATTCCCTACTCCCTTGCTCTCCCTATGGTCCTTTGATGACAAAGATTAGAAACTCAGAATCTCAGAGAGATGGCAGCGAAAGGGGTATGACAAGATTCTGAGAACAGTATGGATGTGTGTGTGTATGTGTGTGTGTGTGTTGTTGTTGTTGTTGACGTGTGTCTGGGGTTTTTTCTTCAGTGTAGGAAAGACCTCCCTCCTCCACCAGTATGTGCACAAGACATTTTACGAGGACTACCAGACCACACTGGGGGCCAGCATCCTCTCCAAGATTATCATACTGGACGACACGACTTTGAAGCTACAGGTGAGCTGCTCTGTCTCTCCCTCAGTGTGTGTACCTGAAATCATCCCAATCCCCTAGAAGCCACTCACACAGCAGTGTGCACCAGGAGCTACAGTGGTCTAGAGCAGAGATAAGCAAACTTCAATTCATGGCCCGCATGTGGTCCACCACCTGGTTTTGTAAATAAAGTTTTATTAGAACACAGCCATGCCCATTTGTTTACTTATGGTCTATGACTGTTTTTGCACTGCAAAGGCAGAGCTTAGTTGCAACAGACAATAAGGTCTACAAGGCCTAAAATATTTACTATGTGGTCCTTTAAAGGAGAAAAATGCTGATCCCTGATCTGGGGTGTGGGGGTGTAGGAAAGAACTAATCTAGAAGTTAGGAGGCCCCACTTTTAGTCTCAGGTTCATTGGAAAACTTGGTAAGTGACCTTGAGCAAGTCACTCCCAGGGTCCAAATCTATCAGATGAGAATAACTGTGCCTGTCCTGATGGCCCAAGAGGAAAGTGAGAGCTCAGGTGTGAAAGTGCTCTTGGGATGCTAAATGACAGTGCAAAAGACAGGCCTGAGATCCTGTGCGTGAAAGAACCATGAGCCCCTGTGCCAGGACTATCTGCTTCCTACCCAGAAAAGGAAACTTTGACATCATGGGACTCAGTTAGACCTACCTCTAGGTACTCATCACAGCTCTATGGGGCGGCTGCTCTTCCCTTCCAGATCTGGGACACGGGTGGACAGGAGCGGTTTCGCTCCATGGTGTCCACATTCTACAAAGGCTCTGATGGCTGCATCCTGGCTTTCGATGTCACTGACCTAGAGTCCTTTGAAGCCCTGGATACCTGGCGAGGTGATGTCCTGGCCAAAACTATTCCAATGGAGCCATCCTACCCCATGGTGGTGCTGGGAAACAAGATTGATCTCGCAGACCGGCAGGTACCGTTCATACTTTCCTTCATTCGCCAAACATTACATGAGTACCTACTCTATGCCACGCACTGTAGTAGGTCCCACACATACAGGGCTGAATCAGACACAGTCCTTACTTTAAGCACGTTGCAGTCCAGTAGTGAATACAGACACTTTAAAAGATGCTTATCATACATTATGGTAAACAAAATGATAGAAATATAACTTGGATATTTGGCGACCACAGGGAAAAGGCATCTACTCAAACTTAGAATAGAGAAAAGGCTTCCTGGGCGGGGGGGAGTGTTCTGGCTGAAGAAACAGCATGAGCAAAAGCAAGAAATAGCGTGCTATGAGCTGAGAAGTGAAAGCAATTTTGTCTGGAGACAGGAAGTGGAAGAATTAAGGCATCAGAGGTAGGCAGGTGGAATTTAAATTAACCTGTAACACAGTTAATTTAACCTGCAGCAGTTAACCTGTAAAACAGGTAGAGGATCGCAGTTATAAATCCTTGAATCTGTAAATTTTCTGGGAAAGTATTAATAATATCTTTTTATTACCATCAGCATATATTGGATTATCTGGCTAAGCAATGGCAGCTGGGGCCCATGTCTACAGGGACCCCACTTGTGTAGGTATTTTTCATGCAGCAGCATTGATTAGAGCTCTTTCCTCATTGCCTACTAATGAGAAAACAATCGAGGCAGACTTAATTCGTAAAAGATGCTCTTGTGCCAAACATAGCTTAAATGACACCAAAAAGAACCATTTGAAAAAGGTTGTCTTAGTGTTTCAAATAGAGAAAAGAAACGAGGAACTGAGCCATCATATTTGAACTACGGTTTCACAATGGTTCAAAGAGAGAAAAGGGATAGAACTGAGGCATCATCTGGAAGAATGGATGGATGGGTGGATTCATGGATGGATGGAAGAAATTCTGACTTTTTCTCAGCGAAATCAGAGGCGCCATCTTCCATTGAGCAGGAAGAGGAAGGGGACCAAATGGAAGTCTCAAAAGTCATGGTGTAGCTCTCCCATTTACTCTGGAGAGCAACGAAGGACAAAGATAAGAACGGATGGGTGACCCTAGGGTCTCAGCTGAAGAGGGAGACCAGGGCTTGGGGCTGGGAGCCAGGAACGAGGGACCCGGGACTAAGGTTCTTCCAGACGAGAGTAGCTGAAGGGTAGAGGTGGGGGGGGGCGGGGCGCTGACAAGCCACCCAGGAAAGAAGAGAGTGGAGGGGCCGTTTGGAGGAGCCGCAGCTAGCTGCGGTGTCCAAGCTGGACGGGCAGGGTGGGAGGAGTGAGGGCTGGAGGAGGTCGAAGGGAAGGAGACTGTGTCACGGGACGGGAGACCAGATTTGATATTTGACAGAGGTCCTGGGTCAGGCCCTGGGCAGAAGAGGCTGAAGTGGAGAGAAGATGCGTTCTGTCGGAGGGGCAGGAATTGGGAGGCTTCGGGGACAGCTGGAGACGACAGGGTGCGCACAGAAACAAGCAGGATGGAAAGAGCCTGTGATGACTTGAGGGCTGGAGGGGTCCATCCAAGCCTCAGGGGAGGAGCTTTGCTCTGCAGAGATAGAGAGAGAGAGAGAGAGAGAGGAGGAGGAGGAGGAGGAGGAAGAGAGAACTGAAAGCAGCACTGAGGCCCCAGGCAAGCCCATCCCCATCTCTGGGGTCTGCGGGGAGCAGGGTGAGGGTGACAGGGGAGCAGAGACCCAGGGCTCAGCCAGGACAGGGAGGGGAGAGAGGGCCCTGGAGGAGGGAAGCCGGGGGAGTTTGTCCTTCCGCAGGGCAGCCCCGGGAAGGGCACTGGAAGAGTAGGTGTCAACGGAGGTGGGGAAGCGCTAAGCAATAACGAGATGAGGGCAGGGAAGTAGACAGGAGGAGCCGCGAGTGAGGAGACGTGCGGCTGGGACACTGCTGCCCTCTGATGTCCTTGTTCGCCCCAGCTTAGCAGAGGGCTTGGGGAACAGAGAAGGCCAGCTGGGATGCGTGCTCTGGGCTCCCCCTCGCACAGGGGTGAGTGCATACAAGCACAGGGGTGAGTGCATACAAGCACAGGGGTGAGTGCATACAAGCACAGGGGTGAGTGCATACAAGCCGAGAGCTACCTGAAGGAGCGCCTACTCTGGGCCCAAGTCCATGCTTGCTGCGTGCCCTTGGCCAGCTCCAGCGTCCTCATCTGTGAAACTGAGGCCAGACTCCGATTCCATGAGTTGCTTGGGGACTAAAGGAAATGATGGCTATGAAGCATTTGGCAAACTTAATAAACAGAAACCGTCATTATCTTCCCTCTTATTTTCTCCAAGGGATGAGCTGAGAAAACACAGGAGGTTTTCTCGCTTAATGAAAAGGAAATAAATGTTGAAAAGTCTAGTGCTAGATTTGGGATGAGAAAAAAGTTCTGGAGTTGGATGGGGATGATTGAGACACAACAATGGGAAGGTCCTTAATGCCACCACACCATGCACTTAAATATAGTTAAAAAAGGGGCGCCTGGGTGGCTTAGTCGGTTAAGCGTCCGACTTTTGCTTAGGTCATGATCTTGCAGTTCGTGGGTTCGAGACCCGCGTCGGGCTCTGTGCTGACTGCCAGCTCAGAGCCTGGAGCCTGTTCCAGTCTGTGATTCCCTCTCTCTCTGACCCTCCCCTGCTCACGCTGTCTCTCTCTCTCTCTCTCTCCTAGAAAATAAAATAAAAAACATTAAAAAAAATATATAGTTAAAAATGGCAAAGCTTGTGTTTACGTAGATCGTACCACAATAAAATGTATATCTCTCACCAGAATGATTTTAAAGAAATGGCTGACTTTGGTGTTTTAAAATCCCTGTTCCTTCTACAGAAGGTAAGAGTGAAAAAATACTAGTTTACTAGAAAGAACAGTTCTGCAAGTACCCATACCACAAGGAATTTATCCACTAGGATGCGAATTCTTTGCCCTGTGTTCAGGCAGGCAGTTTCTGACTGATCACTCATTCATAACATGGGGATGATATTTTCTGAAAACCTTCTCTGTTATTTTTGGTAGTGGTTTAAGATGTACTTGGCATACTAATTTTAATATTTATACACTTGATCATTTAAAATGCATAGGAGATGAAAAGGCATCATAAATAAAACTACACAAATTGAGCTAATTTTGTCAAATATTTGGCCCCTGATGAACAAACAAAATAATAACAGGAGAAGTAAAATGTTAATAGTATATATTGTCAGCCCAAAGCAAAATTAACAGAAGGAAAGCTTTCAAAAATTTCCTATTTCCCAAGCCCCCCCAGTACCACACCCTGAGTTTATTTCCACAGTCAAAGCCTAAATGATAAAGAGCTGTTATTCCGTAAATAAATAAAGGACAAGATGATTGAAACAATCACGAAATTGTGACAAGAACTGGAAGCAAATAGTGCAAAGCGCCGTGTGGGTGGCTTTCTTCCCAGGCCGGCTTGCTGGGGTTGAGTTCAGGGGAGGAGGAGGGACATACAAAAAGAATGTTAATTTGCAACTTAACCTCAACTGACATTTTGGAGCGTGCATTTAATCGTTCCACATCAACCCAACCGAGAAAGATCGGGGGCAAATGAGATAAAATAATCTGTCACAACCAGGCACCAGACAGGCTCGGTCACTGTCCATTGGGAGAGAAGGGAACCGAGATTAGTGGGTTGCAGCCTTAGCCTGGTCCCCTCCAGCTCTGTTGCTGGGTGACCTTGGGCACTAATCTGGGATTCTGCCTCTCATGCCATCAAGTATAAAAGATCTCCCTACATCCTGGAGAGCAGAATCCTTTGACTTCCTTTCACTTGGCTATAGTTTTTACTGCAACCCCCGAACATCAGTGATGGGCGCAGTAAAATGCTCATCACCTGGTGCAGGTGGAGGGTGGGCGGGGGGCTAGGGCTGGGGGGAAGGCACTATGAGAAGCCTGAGTCCAGTCCACACAAGTAAGGACTTTAAAAGATAGGAAGCCCTTTGCATTTCTACGGTCCCTTCAAGGTACAACGTGTTAATTTCTAACACTTATTTATTTGTGGGTTACTGGTGAGGACAATATGAATCACCAGCCACCCTTGACCCTTCCTCCAAAGAGTTCAGGATGTTCCTGAGCTGTGAGCCTTCTAGTTGGCTCACCAGGCCTTGGGCCTCTGTGCTCCACGGAAGAGAGCAGTCTTGGCCAATTCTGGGCCCCTCCCCATAAAGGCAGGAAGGTCTTGGAGATCAGAGGCCAAGATCAAAAGGCCTGGGGCTTCCCCAGAATCCGGGCACGAGGTACAGAGGTGTCAGCTAGTCCCCCAAAGGGCAGACTGCTTAGTTGACCCCAGACTACACCCTCCAGTCTCACGTGGTGAGCCTCCCATGCCAGGCAATGCTGCTGTCAGCAGAGGCCACCGTGAGCCCCTGGTTCTGCTGCCACCCCTGAGACCAGGGAACAGGGGACAGTGATGCTTCTTTTAATCCCAATGAGATAGTCACCCCTAGAACCTGCAGGAGGGAGGCATTCTCTGGTTTCCCCTGGCTGTGCTGGCTTTGGGGAGAGGGGCAGAATGTCCATCTTCATGATAAAAGCCCTGGCTCCTTAAGCAAAATGAAATCATGGCTATAAAGTACCAAGCACAGCCAATGTTCAATACATGGCCACCCCCTCCTCCCTTAAATAATTCATTAGGCATTCAACTCAGTGGTTCAATCGTCTTCAGAAGTAACTCCCAGGGCTCTCAGGCGTTTTCTGAACTGACACGCTCAAACTCTGATCAGCCATTTGCATTCGGGCAGAGATGTACTCATTCAGCCTGTGCTGGGCAGCCCGCGCTGCCAGGCCAAGAGCTGAGAAGACCGTGAACCCGAGCTCAAGGAACCAATGGTCTGGTGGGAGAGGGAGAAAGGGTACCATTCTCATGCAGTGCCCTGCAGAGACCAGTCCCGATGCCACAGGGGCTCTGAGCTGGACTGCATTCCACCTCTTTCTCAGCTGTGTGATCTGAGGCAAATCGCTGAACCTCCCTGAGCCTCAGTATTCTGATCTCAAAAGTGAGCTAATAAGACCCATCTCACAGGGTCATTGGGAGAATTGAATGAGTTAATATGACAAGGTATCTAACACAGTATCTGGCCCAGAGTAGTGGCTTATCAACTGTTCCTAGGCCTCTACCCTGGGGAAGGAGGGTGAGCAAGGACCTGAGTCTGCTCAGCACAGACCTCCTGGGCGTGGGCCCTGGTCAGCCAGCTCAGGGGAAGGAAGCCCTCCACCCCAGCTAGCGTCTATCGTGTTTGTCTTTCAAAGGGACTGAAGAAGGAGCTTTAGGAAAGCAGCATGTAGTACAGTGGGCTCTAGTTCTGCCAAGCCCGTGTTCAAATCCTGCTCAACCCCACCCACTCTGAGCAAGTGTTTGTTATGTTCTTCAGTTCTCAGTTTCCTCATCCGGAAAACAGAGCTCAAAACAGCCACCTCATAGATTTATATTAAGAAGTAATGCATGTGATGGACACCTGGGTCGGTTAAACATCCGACTTCGGCTCGGGTCATGATCTCATGGTTTGTGGGTTCGAGCTGCACATCCAGCTCTGTGCTGACAGCTCGGAGCCTGCTAGAGCCTGCTTCGGATTCTGTGTCTCCCTCTGTCTCTGCTCCTCCCCAACTTGTGCTCCGTTTCTCTCTGTCTCTCAAAAATAAACAAATGTAAAAAAATAAAAGTTAAAAAAAAAGAAATAACCCATGTGAGATTAGACACATGGAAGATTCTCAATGAGTGGGAGCAGCAGTAGTAGGGATGGTGAGATAAGATGGTGGCAATGAGAGTGGGCGATATGGTGACAGTGGCCATGGTGATGCCGTGATCATTTCTTCCCCTCATCCAGGTGTCTCAGGAGGTAGCCCAGGGCTGGTGTAAAGAGAAAGATATTCCCTACTTTGAAGTCAGTGCCAAGAATGACATCAACGTGGTACAAGCCTTTGAGATGCTGGCCAGCCGGGCTCTGTCCAGGGTAAGTGGCTATGGAGGCGTCATGTGCCAGCTGCCCCCTGAGGATAGGAAACTTGGGGGCTTCCAGAGAAGAACCCTGGGCACAGGTAGAGATGGGGGTAGGATGGGACGGCTCGTCATCTTGATTAGTTGCTGAATGGGCTCCGCAGCACTCTGCTTCTGGAACCCCGAATGCCAGAAGTATAAACCTACCTTAGATTATATACTTAGTGGTCCCTCAGTCTGGCTGGTGGTCACTGTGGAGTTTCTAAAATACACGGTTCTGTACCTCCCCCTAGACACTCTGAGGGCAGGGGGAGGGGGAAGAACTGATGGTCTAGTTCAGTCCCGACTGGCGAGAGAGAAGCCCCACAGTGCCAAGCGTTTGTCCAAGTGGAAGATCACGCCTGCAAGAGTGGCCGACATCCTGCAATCCAACAGATGCACAGCTGTGGGCCCCCCGTGTGGAGTGTGTCCTCTGTGCCCGGCAGTGTGCAGGGCTCGGGGACCCTGGCTCTCTGGAGGGGAGTCTGATAGGCCCATGTGTGCTTACAGTACAGTTGCATGGTCCAAAGGATTTGGTGAGGGGCCCCCAGCAGAGGGGCATGCAGCCCAACTATGAGGGATGGGAGGGGGGGACATGGGGAAAATCAGGGAAGGCTGCCTGGACACAGTAACAGGGTTTTCATCCCCTTCCGATATGGAGTCTGGAAACTCAGAAAAGAGTCCAAGGGATTAGCACAGGGAAGGGTTCAGCTTGTCTCATCTACCTGCCACATTTAATCATGGTGGGCCTCTTAGAAGAGGGGGAAAGCTCATCATAGCAATGATTTTGAATTGAAGAAAGGAGGATGGGAAATAGGGGGTTTCCCCTACATGGAAGGGCCTCCCATCGTTCCGGGTGATGGGCGGCCTGGCCCCGTGCTGTGAGCTGCCTTGGACAGAAGTGCTCTGTGGCTTGTCTGTGGTCGTCCGCCAGGGAGAGAGGTAGCCACCACCCCCAAGCGGCTGCCCAGGGAGAAGCCTTGATCTCCGGGTTTGGCCTGACACAGGCTATATTCTTATGCTTGCCCTCCCAGCCCCCCAGCCCTCACTGCCTCGTGCTAAGGGGAAGCAGGAGGTGTCTGTCTCTAGCACATGACCAAGAGGTGTGGCTTTATGATACAGTCTGTAACGTTGGCTCTTAAACCACAGATGCGCCTGCCCATGCCATTCCCCTGGAAAGCCGAAGAATGTCGTTTGACCTTGTATGTTGAAATGTGATAAATGATCCCCCACCAACACAGTACAGTGATTGCCAAATGCTTAGTCACAGGGAGGCTCCATCAGCCCACAGCCAGTGTCTGGGTGTCAGTATCTGTCCTTTCTGAAGAAGGAGTATCCTTGATTCTTTTTTAAAATATATTTATTCTTTTTTAAATTTGCATCCAGTTAGTTAGCATACAGTGCAATAATGACTTCAGGAGTGGAACCCAGTGATTCATCCCCTACGTAAAACACCCAATGCTCATCCCAACAAGCGCCCTCCTTAATGCCCCTCGCCCATTTAACCCATCCCCCACAAGCCCTCCAGCAACCCTCAGTTTGTTCTCTGTATTTAAGAGTCTCTTATGTTTTGTCTCCCTCTCTTTTTATATTATTTTTGCTTCCCTTCCCTTATGTTCATCTGTTTTGTATCTTAAACTCCACATAGGAGTGAAATCATATGATATTTGTTTTCTGCTGACTAATTTCGCTTAGCATAATACCCTCCAGTTCCACCCACATAGTTGAAAATGGCAAGATTTCATTCTTTTTGATTGCCGAGTAATACTCCATTGTATATATGTACCACCTTCTTTATCTATTCATCTGCCAACTGGAGAGTAATTTATTCTTAAAGTTACATCTTTCTGCTGTGTCCACGTTATGAAGTTTGTCTGCTTGGTTGTTGTTGTTGTTTTATTATTTTAGTGTTTATTCATTTATTTTTAGAGAGAGATTGAGAACATGGGGAAAGGTCAGAGAGAGGGAGACAGAGCAGGCACTGTGCCGACCGCCAGTGCAGAGCCTAATGTGGGGCTTGAACTCATGAACCATGAGATCATGGCCTTAGCCGAAACCAAGAGTCAGACACTCAACAGACTGAGCCACACAGCCACCCCTATTGTTGGTGTCTTAATATACTACTTGGCAAAAGAGTGGCTGAGCAACCCGAGGGTCAGTCCCTCATGTTAAGGGAGGAATTTGCTGATAAGTCTAGAAGTCACAAGTATGGTATCCACAGTCAAACTGACCTGCATTTGAATCCTGCCCTGGTGTTTTTGAGTGGACCCCTGGGCAAGACATATAACTGCTCTGAGCCTCAGCTTCCTCATCTGTAAGATGGAAATAATGCAATCCTGTGAACAGTTCTTAAGCTGTCAGGCTAGGGCTGGAGACATGGACCTCAGTGGCTCCAAGGTCAGGTAGAGGAGTAAGACATTCACAAACAGGTTGTCCTAGAGGTAAGTGCCACAGAGGGAACAAAATCAATGACTTCGATGAACTTGATGGCTCAGCGGTGGCTGGTGGCAAGGGTGGGCCAGGATGCTCCCCAGAGAAGTGGCATGTGGCTTGGGTGTTGAAAGACAATGCACAGTTTGCAGGTGGCCATGGGAGGATGGGGGAGGGGCAGACACAGGAGAAGGATGGAGGGAAGAGCATGGCCAGAGGCCCAGGCACCAATCCACAGGGCTCATGTGAGGAATCAACTGTGATCCGCCTGTAAGAGGGGGAAATGTGGCGTTCAGGGAAGCGAGTGTGGGAGGCGAGCGATGAAGACCACAAGGTCAACAACACAGATCATGAAGGCCTCGAGAGCTCCCCCCGCCAAGTGCTTGGGCTTCATGCAGCAGGCCCGCGGTGTCCAGAGCACGCTGCTGGACCCGAGGCACACAGGGACTCACCTGGCACCTTAAAACCCAGGGTGTGACTTTTCCTTAGAAATCTGACTTGAAAAGTCAGGGTGTGACTTTTCCTTAGAAATTTGGAGGAGAAATATTTTCACATTAAAACAAAAAAAAAAATTATTACCAGGGCATAGAACGTAAAACTCGGGTGCATTTTTTTTTATTTTTTTTAATGTTTTATTTATTTCTGAGAGAGACAGAGAGAGAGAGAGACAGCATGAGCAGGGGAGGGTCAGAGAGAGAGGGAGACACAGAATCTGAAGCAGGCTCCAGGCTCTGAGCTAGGTGTTAGCACAGAGCCCAATGCGGGACTTGAACCCACAAACCGTGAGATCATGACCTGAGCCGAAGTAGGATGCTTAACTGACTGAGCCACCCAGGCGCCCCTCGGGTGCATTTTTAAAGTGAAACTGGGTTTGCACACCTGTATTGTAAGGTCAAATGAGTTTTCAAAGACATTTCTGACAAAGGCTTCTCCCCTCCTCCCCAGGGAGGTGGCGTACTCACGGGAACTGGAGTGTTTGAGGCAGATGTGAGCGGTGGCAGGGGAGAGAAGCCGCAGGCAGGCCCGGGTGGGACCACCTGGGGATCTGACTATAATCCCTGGCTCCCCCTCTGACTCACTGTGTCCTAAAGCAAGTCATGCGGCCTCCCTAAGCCACCATTTCCCTCTCTTTAAAGTATGAATAATATCTTCCTAATGGGGTTGTTGCAACGACCAAGCAAAACAACTCCCAGTCCAGAGAAAGCATTCAATAAAAGGCTGCTGGGGTCCCCTGGGTGGCTCAGGGGGTTAAGCATAGGACTCTTGGTTTTGGCTGAGGTTGTGATCTCAGGGTTCCTGGGTTAGAGCATGGAGTTCCAATGCTCTCTCTCCCTCTCTCTCTGCCCTTCCCCCACTCACACCCTCTCTCTCTTTAAATAAATGATAGATAGATGATAGATAGATAGATAGATAGATAGATAGATAGATAGATAGATAGATGATAGCTGTTTTAAAATGGGAGCAGTGTCTAAGGGTTCTCAGCAAGGGAGTCTTCTGCTTCATGGAAGATGGGCTCAATGGGTGGTTGAGACAGTAGTGCAATAGCCCAGCCTGAGAGCACGGAGATGTCAGGAGAAGGTGGATTAAACAGACTTTGGAGGTAGAGCCTTGGGAGTTCATAAAGGCTGAATGTAGGAGAGAAGGAATCGGGAGCTATTCAGGTGGATGAGTGGGTTCTCAGCTTGGCAGTCGGATGCATGATAGGATGGCCAGAACGCTCAGGACCAAGCTAGAGAAGAGAGGGAAAAGCAGGAGCATCACAGGAGGAAGGGGGTGATGCGGTCAGTCCGTGGGGCACATGACATCCACAGCTCCTCGAAATGTCTGAGTCCTGCCGGGGACTCTGGCTGGAAAGAGTGATTTGCGAGCACAGCACCAGAAGAGGTACTTGGCCAACATTCCTTTCCATTTTGAAAGGAAAGATGGTAGGTAGTTACTTTAGTGTCCCAACCTGGCCGCTTTCTTTTTCTTTTTTTAACGTGTGTTTATTTTTGAAAGAGAGAGACGTGAGAAGGGGAGGGGCAGAGAGAGGGAGACCCAGAATCTGAAGCAGGCTCCGGGCTCCACAGAGCCCGACGCAGGGCTGGAACTCACCAACCGTGAGACCATGACCTGAGCCAAAGTCAGACACTCAACCAACTGAGCCCCCCAGGCGCCCCCCAATCTGGCCACTTCCAAGGATTAGGACAATCAGTTATTCCAAAATAAGAAGGGACACCACCTGCTCAAGGAGATTGGGCCTGATGAGATCCTGCTCTTACCACGTTGGCAACACCACCCCTGCTGGGGCTGCTCAGACGGCGTGAGCTGCAGCGTGGAGGCCCAGCTCCTGCGGGGGAGGGGAAGGACAGGAGGGAAGCGGGCTGGCTAGCGGGTAGGCTCAGTGGACTCCCGGGATCTTTCTGAGGTCCTCCATTGTGGGATCCAAAGGCAGGTCCACAGAGGTGACCAGGCTTGAAGGGACAGGGGGGCACAGTCACATCCCTTAGGCGCAGTAGGCGCTTGCGTGGGGACCCTTCCAGGGTGCTCTACACTGAGACGCACATCTTGCCAAGAGGACAGGGGCCTGGAGAAAAGAATCACATGGGGAACCTGATTACAGCCACCGGTTGCTTGGAAGTTTTGTGTGAAATCCGAGGAGCAAGATGATGCCATCATTACCTGCACTGGTGTCACAAAGGGGAAGCACATGGTGAGCTGGACCTGGGGATGTGCTGATGCTATGGGGTTCAGAGAGCTGGCGTGACGGTCTGAGGCTTCTCAGGGGTGAAGCTCCTCACCCCTTCCAGAGGCAGAATTCCATGCAAATCTAGAAAGAGGGCAAAGGAACTCAGGAGGCTCCGTAGCTGCTCGGAGGCCCCGCATCTCCTTCCCCTCTGGGCTGGCGTGTGGACAGCCGCCCGGGCTTCTGTTCACGAGGGGCTCCAGGGCCCCCACTGGGGCTTGGGTGGACGTGGGTGGGGGCACACTCAGGGGTGATGAGCCAATGGGCCCTGCTTCCAGGGTCCAAAGACGCAGTTAGGGAAGTTCCTGATCCCAGTCATGGCCTCTGGCTTGAACCATGACGGGGGGACCCACGAAGTCCCAGCAGTGAGAGAGTGCTTCCCAAACCTGCCTTGTGGGGAGAGATGGACCAGGGTAAAAGGGACCCTCCCTTGTCCCTCCCTGGGAGACTCGGAAATGTCAGGACTTGAACCGCATCAGCTCCGTGGAGTGAGAGGGACCCCACGCAGCGGCAGGGTCCAGGTGGAGGATTGGCCATGCCCAGGGCTGCGGAGGCTGGAGCCCACACACCAGGCCTGGGAGGTGCTGGGGACAAGGAGCCCCCTGGCCCCATTCCCTCTTCTCAGGCACCTTGGGTGGGACTCTGCTCTCAGCGTGACAGCCGGGGAAGCCCGGGGTATCCTGGGTCAGGTCTGTGAGCAGTGGGCTAGGATCCCCCCTAGCAGAGGGGACGCCAATCTGGGGTGTGGGGACATCTCCAGCGAGACAGACCTGCATTTGGAGAGCATACACCGCCCCCAACCCCAGGCATTAGACCTTTCTGTTAAAATAAGTATAGATAAATTCTAAACTCTAAATAATCTGCTGAGGGAGGCGCCTGGGTGGCTCAGTCGGTTAAGCAGCTGACTTCGGCTCAGGTCATGATCTCACGGTTTGTGAGTTCGAGCCCCGTGTTGGGCTCTGTGCTAACAGTTTGGGGCCTGGAGCCTGCTTCCGCTTTTGTGTCTCCCCCTCTCTCTGCCCCTCCCCTGCTCATGCTCTGTCCCTCTCTCTCAAAAATAAATAAACATTAAAATAATTATAATTGGCTGAGGAAGGCTCAAGGCCCATCACCCAGGCTGACTAAGGCCCGAGACCCGGCCTGGGAAGGCTGAGAAACAGGGGCTTTCAGGAAACAAACTCTACGGAAAAGGGCTGTATCCCAGGCCCAGCGCCATGAGCTCTGCGCGTGAGGCTAAATGACCCCTCAGTCATGGGGCCTCGGGGGACCGTCTCCTGCATCTCAGGAGCCACCATCATCAGGGTGCAGCAGGTGAGGCCTGATGCCATCTCCTGGGACAGGGAGGTGACATTCACCAGTGGCGATGGGTGCTGCTGGGTGACAGCCACCCACGCACACAATACCATCTGTGGGGGGGCACGGATGCCAAGCCCAGTGACTGGTGAGAGCCGAGTAGAATAAAGAGATGGGGTCCCTTTAAGAAGAGACTCTTGAGCCCTAGCATTTACCTCCTGGAGGAAGGGCCCCAGGCCTGCCCCATCCTCACCCCTGAGCCAAGGTCCTGGAAGAGAGGTGGCCCAGCTTTGTTGGGACACCAGGGTTTGAGAAGGTAGCAGAGAGGCAAACAGGCCCAGTGGAAAGGCTGAGTCTAGTTTGGGGGTGGAGAGAGCCTGTGGGAAGGACCGAGAATTGACTGGCTTCTCAGGAGCCAGGGGTGGCCGTGGGGGGAGGCTGGGAGTGGACATGGTGAAAGAAGGTTGGGTGTGGGGTGTTTGTGCGGAGTGGTCTCCAGCAGGAATAAGGGGAGGGTTGTCATTGCCTCTGCCTGAGGTCAGATATCACCTCAGTTGTTCCTTCTGGAGAATGGAAAGTCATGGGACGCTGTTGGAGGTCAGGAGACTTGTGCCACCCACTGCTCGGGGCTCCTGGGAAGAAGCTGGAGGAGGAAGTGAGGAAAGAAGAGGGTGAGGAAGGCCAGGGCCCCACCCCCACTCCCACCCCCACCCCCACCCCCACCGTTAGTTTCCTAACAACACAATGGGGAGGGAACAAAAAAGCCAGCCACCATCGGCTGGAAAGAAACAGAAGGCAGGTGGGTGTCTTTGCCTCTCAGCATGTGAACTCCGACTTCTCTTCCTTCCCCAGTATCGAAGCATCTTAGAGAATTACCTCACAGACTCCATCAAGCTCTCACCGGAAGACCAGTCCAGGAGTAGATGCTGCTGACCTTCTAGACACCAGCTCTGACGCCCAGACAAAGCCTGCCCCGCGCCCAGGCATCCTCCCCACCACCCCGCACCACCCCCCGCCCCGCCTCCTGCCCAAGCCCAGCCCAGGCAGCCTAAGCTCTGCAGCCAGAGCCCTCGATCCCCGATCCCCGATCCCCTTGCCTCCATGCTGGGCCCAGGTCAGAGCCCAGCCCCTGCCTCGGGCTGAGTGCAGTGAGGACAGAGCTGGGCCCTCAGGGGTCCCAGTGGAACCCAGAACGTCACAGCCACATCTTGGGCCTGGAGGAGGCATAGCTCCCTGGCTGGCTCCGGCCTTCCTGCTACCTGCCCTTCCCAAACACACTCCTGGTCCAGAACGCACATCTCTGCAGACAGACGGGCCACTGTTTCTGGAGTCCCGTTGTGTCTTCCTGTGGCCTGGCCTTCCTTGCCCCCACCACCATGTACCCGCAAAGCCACAGCACAGCTTTGGACCAGGGCGTGGCTTGGGCCACCCTGGCTATCAGCGCTGGAAAGCAAGGGCCAGCCTCAACCCCTGGTGGCCACTGTCAGGCCTGGAACAAAACCCCGCCCCCTGCAGGGTACGAGACTGAGGGAGCCCAGGAAAAGGCACCAACGACTGGCTCAGTCTTCTCTACTGGATGCTCAAACAACTCCTTTAAGTCTCCCTGAGCCTCAGCTTGCTTATCTGTCAAATAGGGGTAACAAGTGTCCTGCTGACATCAGAGTATATGGTTTTGAGGACCAGAAGCTCTGCTTAAATCTCAGCTGCTCTTGTTGATATGTATGTATTTATTTCTTCAACAAGTACCGTTGAATATCTGCTATGGATAATGCACCATGGTCCAGTGACAAATGAAACAAACAAGGACCCTGCTCTCCTGGACCCAGCATTCTGATAAGGGAAGGAAGCAATAGGCACAGATTTTAAACAGATCTGTGCTTGGACAAAGCAGCAAAGGTAATGAGATAGAAAGGGACAGAATCTGGGGTTGGTGCTGTTTTGGACAAAATGGTCCAGGAGGGCTTCCCTGAGGAAGTGTCATTTGGCCCAAGGACTAGAGAATGAGCAGATAGATGACTTTCACTAGAGATCTGGACAAAGAGCATTCCATGGAGAGGGAGCAGAAAGAGCCAAGGTCCTGAGGTGAGGACAAATTTGCTATGTTCCAGGAACAGTGAAAGGACATTCATTCACCTGAGGACTCAAAGATGCTGTCCCAGAGACAAGCAAAGGGGACCCTGCCCCCTGGAGTGGCTCCTTGATGCTCTGCTGACTGGCCACCAGAGGGCAGCAGTGCTCCTTCCCTTCCACGCTGAGTGGCCTGTGGCTTCTCCATGCCACCTGAAGCGGGGCTTTTCTCTCTGTGCTGATCCTCAAAGCATGTTCTCAGGCTGGGGGCATGTTTGGCCCTCTGAGATCTGCTGGACAGGAGAATCCCCTTTCCTTACACCTACTAAGAAATAGGCAAAAGCTGTAATATCAATGATCCAGGCAAGAAATCCACGTAAGTGACAAATACTAGAATTGAGGGGCCTGAAAACCTCAATAGGCAGAACCCAGCCTGAAGGGGGTGGACAGGATGACCACTCAGAGGCTCCCAAGCCATACCCATGCCACCCCCACCCCCCCGCCCCTGAAGTCTCCTGTCTACACAGAAGTACCTGGTCCTGAGCTCCGAGCAAAGCCGGGATGTGAGCCTAGGACTTCTGATGTCATCTGACTATGAAGATACTCCCAGAGGCAGGGAACCCTGGGGGTGGGGGTGGGGGGTGTCAGCAGGAGAGTCTGGGGAGCCTCGTCTCCCCACCCAGCTGTGGGCGGCGGCATGGATCTGGCACCGAGCAGGGGCTGGGAGCACTCCACCGTCTCTGTGCCCTTCCTGGTAGCGGCATTCTACAGCTCACACAGGCTCTCCCGGCGGACCCTGGATGGGATGTGTGTCCTGTGCATGCCGCACCGAGGGACATGAGAACTGTTGCAAAATGCGTGCAACAAACAATAAATGTGTCCTTCTGTCTTTTTATCCTTTTTGGTATTTTGTTATTAAGTTAAAAAAAACAAAAGCAACATGTTTCCATAGTGGAAAATCAAGGAGAGGCAACAAAAATTGAACTGGGACATCTTACATAACTGGCCGGGCCCAGGGCAAAATGAAAACGCCCCGCCCTTGGTCAAAACTGATTAAGAATCTCGAGACAGTGACAGCGGACCTTTAAACCAGGGTCCTTAGGAGAGCAGGGTACCTTTGCTGTGAAGCCGGGCCCTGGGGAAGCAGCTGTTTCCTGTGCCCTCCCAACGATGGAGCCCCTGACAGGCCCGCGGGGGCTGCACACGCTCAGCTTGTAGATAAACGTTCTGTCTTCGCAGCAGTGGAGCAGTGGCGTGGCGGTCGCACCCCGGGCCCACACCGAGCATTTTGAGTTTTCTCTGGAGTCAGGAGGAGGACAGAACCTTCCACGTGGGAGGGCAGAGGGCCCCCACTCGTGATTCTGAGACTGGTCCTGGGTACTAACCCAGCAGGGGCAGGTACTGGGGCTTGGGACGCCAGGCTAGGTGAAGAACCCATGGGAGCCCATGAGTGGGGGGTGGCCAGCACCTTCAGGGCCCCCTCATCTCCATCCCTTCTGAGAAAAGAGGGCCCCAATTAACAAGCCTGCTCTGGGCCAGGCCACTCTGATCCCTGCCCCAAGGGGCAGCCTCAGGCTGCTGATGAATAGAGAGGAGGCTCCTGGTGGCACACACTGAGAGCTTGGGGAAAACATAAAGAAAACCAAATCTTATCACCAAATAAACCACACTGCTAAGAGGATTCGGGAAACAGCTGACTTTTCCACTCTTTGCTCCCACTCTGCAGAGGTTCCCGCACTGCCCTGTCACCCGCCACAAGCACTGCCTGCGGCCAGACGTGCGGTGGTGTTCCCAGGAGCACGCCGTCCGGCGGTGGCCACGGAACGGCCATGCCAGCAGCAACACCCCAGCTAACCGTTGCACACAGCCAGCCCAGCGGTGACGGCAGGCTGCGGACATGAGGGCTCGCGGCTGTGTGCACACGGAGCCTCCCTCTAGGATGCGAGCTGCTTGGGGCAGTGCGGGTATACGCACCTGCACCACGTGTGCAGTGCGTGCGTCTGGTGTGCGCCTGGAGCAGCGTGTGTGTGCACATCTGTGTGGGGTGTCAGGTGGGGGTGCGGTGTGTGTGCGCACGTCTGTGTGAGGTGTCAGGTGGGGGTGCGGTGTGTGTACACGTCTGTGTGGTGTGTTAGGTGGGGGTGTGGTGTGTGTGTACATGTCTGTGTGGGGTGTCAGGTGGGGGTGCGGTGTGTGTACACATCTGTGTGGTGTGTCAGGTTGGGGTGCAGTGTGTGTACACGTCTGCGGGGTGTCAGGTGGGGGTGCAGTGTGTGTGTACACGTCTGTGCGGGGTATCAGTTGGGGGTGTGGTGTGTGTACACGTCTGCATGGGGGTATGGTATGTGGGTGTGCATAGGGCAGTGTGTGTATATGGTGTGTGTGTGTGTGTGTGTGTGTTTGTGTGTGTGTTGGGGGGAAGGATGTTTACGTAGAAGGTGGGGAGGGCAGTGGGACATAGAAAGTCAGACAGTGGATTTTCCTTGTTGAAATACAGAAAAAGTACACACACGTTCATAGGACTGGAGGAAAGCAGTATTAGGGGAAGGGGCTCCGGGCTCGGGGTGGAGCAGTCACTGTGGAGAGCCTTCCTTGTGGCAGGGAGGCCCCAGGGCAGAGGAGGGGTAGTTCTCATCCTCGGGGGCGACGGCTGCGGGTCCCTCCCTGCCCCCCCCAGCCCAGCGGGTCCTGGCAAAGCCACGTGCTCACCCCCTTGGAAGCCGTTCCCTTCCCCTTGCCCCGCTGCTTCACCTGGTCCAGGTGGCTGGCGCATCTTGGCCCAGACCACCCTCCGCCCTCCCCGTGGGCTCCCGCCGGGCCTCTTCATCCTCTCCTAGCCACTCACACACCAGCCCTCCCCGTGGCGTCCACACAGACAAAATCCTTGTGGCGCCCACAAGGCCCTCACTGCCAGCCACTGCCTGCTCAGGCCTCAGCTCTGGCCACAGCCGCCCTCAGCTGCACACACGGGGACTTCTCTGGGTTCCCCCAGATATGCCTCTCTCTGGCCCTGCGCCTGGCCATTCCTCCTTAGCTCTGGGCGCCCACTGCCCTGTTTTCAGTGCCAGACATCAGCTCCAGTTGGGAGTGCCGTGGCAGGGAGTGTCCTCAGTTTCATTCCCCACTGTCTACCCTGCACCCAGACCAGTGCCTGGCAAGTGCTTGGGGTTCAATAAATAGTTTTGGAAAATCAGTTCCTGCAATACTTTCTCATAATTGCTTGTCTGCATGCCCTTAGACTCCCTAAAGGCAGGGCTTGTTTTGATTCATCATGTCAAACCCAGCGCTCAGCACGGAGATTGGTGCATAGTAGATGATAAATAAATATTGTGGAATGCAACAGTACACCACACAGCTATTAAAAAGAATGATGGAGGGGCACCTGGGTGGCTCAGTTGGTTAAGTGTCTGACTTCGGCACAGTTTGTGAGTTCAAGCCCCATGTTGGGCTCTGTGCTGACAGCTCAGAGCCTGGAGCCTGCTTCAGATTCTGTGTCTCCCTCTCTCTCTACCCCTCACCCACTCACGCTCTGTCTCTCTCTCTCTCTCTCTCTATCTCTCAAAAATAAATAAACATAAAAAAAAAGTATGATGGAATGTTCTGTGTAATGGCATGGAATAGAACACCCAAGAATCATTGTCATGTGAAAAGGCAATGGCGGAATCACATGTATAAGATGCAGTCTTTTTGGTAAGGAGAGGCTTAAATAAGACTTTATATTGATTTTTGCTTGTACATAAAGAAAACTCTAGAAAGATGCATAAGAAATTAATAAAAGTGATTATCTTTCAGAGAGAAGACTGGGCAAGTGGGAGTCAGATGTAGAAGTAAGGCTCTGCTTATATAATCTCCTACTTTGAATTTTGAACTCGTTGAGTGTATTACATAATCAAGAAGTTTTTTAAAGGAAAATGAATATTGGTAGAAGGCAGAAGGGGCAGAAGAACAAGCAGGGAGAGAGTTGGAACTCCAACCAGGACCCAGCTGCCTTTGGTCAGTTACAACACACAGCCTTGAATCCAAGGCTGACAAGTTCGGATTCTGCCGTAGAAGACTGGTGGGTGTCCAAGAATACCCACACCCACACGCTCTGGCCAAGACACCAAGGCTCCCCGAGGGTTCTCCTGTATCCCAGAGGAAGATCCTATGACCTGGGATGTTGGTCAATAACTGAACAGGTGTTTCCAACCCCAGAGGCTCAGCGCTGGAGATAAACTATCAGGTTTGCGCACTGCTCTGTGATTCCCCAGGGTTAATATCAAGACTTACCAGTTCCTCAACACTCTGGAGCCCACTTCTCTAAGCCCAATGCTGACCCAAAAAAAGATCCCCCTCCAAGGATGGGCTCCAAAATGAACTGGTACAACTGCTTTGGGGCCGTATTGAATAAAAGGCACCACATACAGGCTCTATGACTCTGTAGCTCCAGCCCCACACATAGACAACCCTCACTGGTGGGCACCGGGGGACATGGACATGATCAAGAATTTTCTTTGTAGCTTTGTTTGTAATGGGGGGGGGGGGAGATAAAGGGAAAGAAATAAAACGAAATGAAACTGGAAATGACCCAGATGCCCTTCTACAGAAAATTGGATAAATAAAATGAGATATCAAAACAATGGAATTTCACGGCCGTGGAAATGAATAAACTAAACCCACATACATCAGTTGGGTGAATCTCAAAAGCATATGGAAGATGACAAGCCACAGAAGGAGACATATGGTTACCATTTCTGCAAAGTTCAAAAGCAAGCAAAACTCAGTGGTTTATCATCACACATGTTCATCACAAATGCATCTGGTAAAACAACATAGAACAACAAAAAAACATACAGACGAGGGAATGATGAGCCCGAAACTTAGATAGCAGTTACCTTGGGTGGAGGTCAGGGCTGGGGAGAAGCAGGGAAATGCACTAGGGACCAGACACACCGGGCAACTAGACAGAGTTGGGAAAGTCCAGTCTTCCAGTTGAGTCATGGGGCCACAGGCAGTAATTTTATTATTACACTTTGCATCTCAGATGTACGTCACACATATTCTTTTCATGACTCAAATATCCAAATTTTAAAATTGCAACCACAGCCTGAGCTTTGGAGTCAAGAACACTTGAGTTAGAACCTTGACTGTCTTTTCCATAGCTATGTGACCTAGGGTGTATTGCCTGATTTCTCAGAGCTCCCACTGTCTCACCTGTACAGCAGGGATAATAATGCTTACCCTGAAGGATACAAGTTATGTACAGCCATCCCTCTTATCTGCAAAGGATACATCCCGAGAACCCTAGTGGATGCCTGAACTCACAGATAGTACTGAACCCTACGTATTATACTATGTTTTTTCTTAGACATATCTACCTATGATAAAGTTTAATATACATATTTATAAATGTTAATTCTGTTAATCTCAGGCACAGTGAGATTAACAGAAATAACGAATAATAGAATACACTGCAGTACAATATACTGTAATAAAGGTTATGTGAATGTGGTCCCTCCCAAAAATCTCTTCTTGTGCTGTACTTACCCTTCTTGTGTTGATGTGAGATGAAAAAATTTCTGCTTGATGAGACAAAGTGCAGGGAAGATGCTGGACTTTGACTTAGTGTTAGTCTGCCATTGACCTTCTGAGATTTGTCAGGAAGATCCCCTGCTTCTGCTCCGCTCTTTGACGACGGGTAGCTGAAACCATGGATAAGGGGAGACTATTGCATGTATTGTGCCTAACTTGTGCCTACATACTCGATAAACGGTGGTTTGTTGAGTCAGGAAGAGCTGCAGGGTGTTTGAAATCTATTTGTGAATAAAGGCATAGGACTCTGGCATCCTTGTTATAGACTAAGGACCAAATAAATGAGGACTGAATGAATGAATAAATGAATGAGGAAACAACTGA